GCTGCTCCAACACTGGAGGCTTTTAAGAAGATACTGGACAACCACTTGTCTGAAATAGTCTAGGGTCTCCTGCTTGAGAAGAGGGTTGGACTAGAAGATTTCCAAGGTCCCTTCCAACTCTGTTTATTCTGTTGTTATCTACACAAGTTTCAACTGGGACACAAACTTCCACCGTCCTGTGCTGAATTCTTTTTTCGTTTGCCTTTGAGCTGCAGGTTGCTCTCGTTTCTCCAACTGTGCTCTACCAAATGATGACAAGGATGCCCCCCTTGCTTCCATCACACACAAACACGGACCCCAATTTCTGCTCCTCCAGCACTTCCGTGTGAACTAACCTTCTTGATCCATGCTGGGTTTTAAAGCAGGGAACGCTCCACCCTGCCTGCCTTCCTGCAAACTCCCCTTGACCTGCCGAGCCAGACAGTCTGTCTGCAAAGGCTACGAGAAAGAAGCCATTCTCCATCTCCTCGGACTTTTCCTGACAGCTGATAAGCCACTAACATTCCACAGTGCCCGCCCGGTCCTTGCCTGGGACGTGCCATGCGGCTTGCCGTGGTCTTCTTTCCTCGGAGGAGCTGCGGGTGGCTTGAAGGAGGCTGGAAAGGGAAAGAAGCAGCTCGCCTGCACAGCTCAAATGTCCCACCCTGCCTTGGCAATCTCCCATTTTGCAAGCCGAGGGGGCTGAATGGGCCTGTCTCCAGGTTGCCCTGTCTCCAGCCGACCTCTTGATCTGCTGCTGTGCAGGGTTTGATACCTGGGAAGATCATCAGGTGGAGAATGTTTCAACAAGGGAATTCATCAAGGCTTCGGATATCAAAAGTTGGCATTGCCTAGCGGAGTAAAATCCGCAGGGACTCCTTTACCTTTTCAGATGCAAAGACTAGGAGGGGGTCTGGAGCATCTAAAGTAGCATCTGTCTGCACCTGGGAGTACCAGAATCAGGTTTTGAGTGTTTGCTACTTTTCCCGTTGCTGTTATGCTCACTTTGTTTGTTCACTGTCCCAATGGATTTGGAGCAGTCCGTAAATACTCTTAATAAAGTAAATAAATGTGAACTTCCTTCACGCTGTCAAGCTCTTTCTTGGGTTTGCATGGCTGCCCTTTGCAGATGTTGAGTGATCCTGGGGGGTGGGGGGTGGGGGAAGAGTGTACTTGGATTCAGGAACTGGATGCTCCTTGTGTGATTCCTTGTGACTTGATGGGGTTTGAATTGGAAGTGCTCCCCTCCCCAGTTAAATAGCCATGTTGATGCTGTTCTCTAGATGAACTTTCCCTCAGCTCCTGAGGACTTCAAAGGCAAGGCCGTGTAGTTTCCCGAAGAGATTGGCTCCTGGAATGTTTTGATATCCCAGACTAGGCTAGAAGCCTGGAATTTCCTGCTGTACTGACAGGCTGTACTACAACTTCCATTATCCCTCATCAACCATCATGCCAATCGGGTATGGTAGAAGGCACAGTTTAACCCTTCGTTAGGGTGGCAGACTGAAGGAAGATGGATTTACTCGAGGCAATGTTGTCTCAAAACAGGGACTGGCAACCCCAAAGCTTGCTTGGGTTTATTGGTCTTTGTAAACCCCCTATAAAACCCTTAGCTTTTATAAATGTGCTCCTTAAATTTATTTTAAACGTATTGAACTAATCGAAAATATATTTAGTTAAGACTTTTGTAGGCTAAATGAGGAGGAGGAGGAGGAGGAGGAGGAGGAGGAGGAGGAGGAGGACCCCTCCCCAAAATAGCCCTCCCAATTTTTTCAGCTTCATTCTTACTATCCCACACCATCACATGACCGTCCGGGGAAAAAGACAACAATGCTTTATTTTCCTTCCAAAGAAAAATTAAAGAAAATGCCAACTCAAAAATCCAAGCCTCATTTTTGGGCTGTTGAAACATTTCAAAATCAACTAAATTCAGGCAGAAAAGCTAAGAGAGATGGGCAGACAGAAATGCCAAATTCCTGATTCTCAGATCAAGGAGGAGAAAACCTATTAGAGAATTGATCTATTGACGATTCCATTAAATGCTGCTAAATTCTGTTGAAAATGTGGTTGCCACTAGGAAGCACTGGATCTGAATTTTATCTCCCTCTCCTTCTCCCTCTCCTTCTCCTCTGTTGTTTGATTCATGGTCTTGACTTGGTTTCTTTGTTCTTTGACTATAAATAAGGATATAGATACGACTTGCCATCATTAAGCTGAATTTGGACTATCACAGGAGTGTTCTAAACGGTTGAGTCCTTCCCACTGGACCTGCCTAGATTTTATTCCAAAACTGCTAGCACTGGCCAGCTCTGACTGCAGGAGCCAAATTACTCAAGAGTAATGGCTACTCCTGAGGAGGCCGTCCTTTAATGGCACCTCTCCATGTAACTTCCTGCTTCATTGCCTCAGTGCTCTTTAGCTTTCAATCTAAGAGCATCAAGGCTCTTGTGGGCTATGCAAACACAGCTTGAGAATGAAGTTAGAGTTTACAGATGGGGACTTAGGAACATGGAGTTGTTAGCACCTCATCACTGATCTGGGGGTCCAATCAGAACTGCTTGGGGGTTGCATCTTCAGTGAGATCTCATCTCTGTGAGACCTGACTCACAGTTGGAGTATAAGGCTGAACCACACGCAGGACGCTTTGTAGAATTGTCTAGCCTCCGATTTCTGTTGCCAAGCTTAACTACAGCAGAGGAAAGATTGTACCCAGACATGTATTAAAAATCAGAGAGCCTCTTCTGCCTTCTGCCTTCTCTGTCCAAAGGCTGCTGCTGTGGTTTTTAAAAAGCAGTCGTCACTCTACCAGGACAAGCAAAATATTTTGAAGAGATCAAGATTGTCTGCTTTCTGCTTCAAGAGCTCCTTTGCTTCTAGCCTCTGGCTAGATGGTCACATAAAAATGGCTGACTGAGTGGCGTCCCTGGTACAAAAAGGAACAATTACAACACAGCTGCAATTTTGCATGCCAGGCTTGGAAGGATTACGTATGTTGTTTTGCCTTTTAATGTTATCCACTAAAGCCAAGGACAAGGAATTTATGAGCACCGAAGAAGGACTTGCATAATAAGATCAGTACAGTTTTATTCTTCAGATGCCACCAGAACTAATTGGATTGGTCAACAACTGTCTGGGAATTTGGTTCCAATTCTTTGTTCCTTAGGGCTACCACAACTCAGCCTTTCCTGTTTGGTGTTGTGTCTTTCATCCTGATGATTCTTCTGACCACATTAGTGAGGTGTCCAACTTACAGTATATTCTTTGCAATCATCTGGTCATTAGCTCTCCGAGAGTCACTGAGGCCACTTGGGGGTTTATATGTACCCTCATGGTCACCTGAACCATGTGCAAATGGGTGTGGAACCTCCTTGGAACTGCTGAAAGGACTGGGTTGTAGACAGGAGGTAGGTGGTGCCGTATCCCTCCCCCTCTGTTGAGAGAGGATTGTTCAGTCTTAACACAGATGGCCTCTTTGACCCCTATTTCAAACCAGCAGTCCTATTTGTCCAGAATATGACAAGTTCACATCAATTCTGGATGCTGAAGTCTACAGATTTTCAAGTTGCCAAGGTTGAGAAACACAGCTCCAGGTGCTGGGTGTGTGGGCTGACCCCAATAAAGTTGGAAGTAAAGAGGCTGTGATAGAATAAGAATATTATCAACCCCAACTGTAAATGTTCTCAACAACCATGGCTGAGCTACTCAATGCATGTTGGTGTTCCTAAAAAGCCATGGTGATGCAGTGGTCAGAATGCAGCCTTGCCGGCTAACTCTGCCCTCTGCCAGGAGTTCGATCCAGACCAGGTCAATGTTGATTTGGCCTTCCATCCTTCCAAGGTTGATAAAATGAGGACTGAGATTGTTGGGGGCAATACGCTGACTCTGTAAACCAGGGGTCCCCAACCTCCAGTCTGTGGACCAGTACCGGGCCACAGCATGCCAGCAACTGGTCCGCACAAACAAGCAAAGCCCCATCCGCGGGATGCAGGCAGCATATAAAACCAGCCCCCCTCTGGTCTCTGGAAAAACCTCTCCCCATGGAACTGGTCCCTGGTGCCCGAAAGGTTGGGGACCTCTGCTGTAAACCACTTAGAGAGGACTGTAAAACACTATGAAGCGGTATACAAGGTTGTTTGTTCTTTGTGGTTTGGAACTCTGATACTTTGGATTTCAACTTTCACAGCCTTTGCCATTGACCAAGGGTATGGAGGGAGGGAGGGGGGGACACAAGCATTCAAGTGACAATGGTCTAATTCAGGGGTAGGCAACCTCAGCTCTTTTATGACTCATGGACTTCAACTCCCAGAATTCCTGAGTCAGCATAGCATAGCTGACTCAGGAATTCTGGGAGTTGAAGTCCATGAGTCATAAAAGAGCCGAGGTTGCCTACCCTTGGTCTAATTGAAGCCCTGACCTCTTCTTTACATGAGATGCATATCAAAAAGGCATGGGACTTCTATGCAGCTGCCATATTCGTTTTTTTCCCACCCAGATGTCTCTGCCCTTGATTTTGCTATTGATAGGATTGATTATATATCACACCAAGCTCCATACCTCTTCTGATTTTTCTTTTTCATGGAACACAGAATAAGGGTTGAAGGGACTTTGGAGATTTTGTAGAGACATGTTGGCACCACCAATGTATAAGTGACAGAAAATCTGTACTATAAAGCCAACAACAGGAGCCTCATGGAAATTGTTCTTGCCATGGCATTGCCACCCAAATTGAGATCTGGATTACAGAATACAGAATAACAGAGATCAAGGGATCTTGGAGGTCTTGTAGTCCAACACCCTGCTCAAGCAGGAAACCCTATACCATTCCAGATAAATGACTCTCCAAAACCTTCAGTGATGGAGTACCCACAACCTCTGGAGGCAAGCCATTCCACTGATTAATTGTTCTCCCTGTCAGGAAATTTCTCCAAATCACCTTGGTTCCCATTCATTTTTTCCCTTTCTCCTCTGCCTCCTTCTCATCTTTCCTCTAGTACCAGAATCAATGAATCAATCAGCCTTACCTTTAACGAAGACATATAACTTGGCTTTCAGTTCCTCCGTGAAGGGGGGTTGGTCATAAAAGCAGGTGAAATAGCCAGTGTCGTTGGCCACAGCTCGGTTAATACCAATGGTGCTGCAGGAATGCCATGGCTTGTCTGAACACTTCTGCTTGTGAACATGCCATCGCTTGCTGTGGGTGATCTGTTCATCTCCAGCTTGCCAGGTCAATCCATGCGCTGAGCCCCTGGCAAGAGAAAGTACCGTTCCATCAGTTTCAGGCATAACGTAAGATGCTGCCAGGCAACTGGGCACAACCACGTCGCTTTTTGCTGCCTGGTCAAGAACATCCTTGGCCTATGTGGAAATCATTAAGTAGACTACAAAGGACAATCTAAGAAAATGTGACATTCCTATAGAAAAGACCCTGTGAATATGGAGAAGAACAACCCATCTCACCCATGCTATGGTACATACTATGTCCTTCAACATGCGCAGAAGAAGACCTCATGCTGGAAAAGAGAATGCTGTCAACATGGCTGGCTGGGGAATTCTGAGAGTTGAAGTCCACAGGTCTTAAAGTTGCCAAGGTTGGGGACCCCTGCCCTAGAGAGTACTTTAGTTCTCTCCTTCCTCCTATCCCTCTTCTGTGGTCCATCAAGTGACACTGATACTAAGAGCTCTTCTGCTGACCAGTTAGGAGCCATTTTTAGTCTCCCCTGGCTATCCTCCTCTGACTTTGTAATTCTAATCACTAAGTTATCCAATTGTGTTAGTTCTGACCATACAAGTGCAAAAGTTCAATTCATTCCATACTTTGAATTTAAGAGGAGATACTGTCCTTGAGAGCAGGACTTTTTCTATCTTGGTTCTGACCATGAATAATAATTGTCCTTCTCCTTCTCCTCCTCCTCCTCCTTCTCCTCCTCCTCCCCTTCTTCCCTCCTCCTTCCTCTTTCCAACAACAACAACAATTGGCCAAGATTGGGCTGGATACTACCTGCTGATGCTCTTTCACTGAATTTTCAATATAAAGAGTTCACAAAACACTTGTGACTCAAGTTGATTGCAAAATCGATTTATCTGGCATCCAGTTGCATAATTGTATTACCCACTATCATAAGTTCTTTCATATTGAAGAAGATCCCGTAAACCACCTTTTTTTGCTGCCACTAAATCCTGCAATCTTGTCTTCTTTCAGCAAGGCTGTCACAGGTCAGCAACTTCTGAAGCTGCTTCGGGAGATAAATTAACTTGTTCAAAGGTTCTGGGAGATTAAAGTGGGCAAGTGCTGTATTTCTTTTCTGAAATGCAACTGGCCATTGGGAAAGATAACCACAGCAATAACAATGCACTTGTAGGGTGTTGGGGTATGTGTGTGTGTCATAAAAGCCAGGATGGTGGCTATCACCATGCAGAACAGAATGGGACAACTTGCCACAGCCATCTTGCCACAGGCAATTTGCCACAGGACAATTCAACAATTTATTTAAAATAATTAAAACATTATTTCAATTTTGTCATTCCCCTTCCCATTGTTGTTCCTTCTTTGGCGTCCTTTCTTTAATGATTATATCCTACCATTTCTTCAATATTAGTGTAACTCTTGTCCCACAGCGAGTTAGAATAGAGAAGAGCTGGAAGGGACCTTGGAGGTCTTCTAGTCCAGCCCCCCGCTCAAGCAGGAGAACCTATGCCACCTCAGACAAGTGATTGTCCAGTCCCTTCTTAAAAATCTCCAGTGATGGAATGCCCACGATTTCTGAAGACAAGCTAGTCCACTGGTTAATTGTCCTCACTGTCAGGAAGTTTCTCCTTAATTCCAGGTTGCTTCTCTCTTTGGTCAGTTTCCAACCATTGTTTCTTGTCCTTCCCTCTGGTGCTTTGGAGAATAATTTGACCCCCTCTTCTTTGTGGAAGCCCCTCAGATACTGGAATACTGCTACCCTGTTGCCCCTGGTCCTTCTTTTTTTTAGACTAGCCGAGGGGTAGGCAACCTTGGCTCTTTTATGACTGGTGGACTTCAATATCCAGAATTCCTGAACCAGCATGGCTGACTCAGGAATTCTGGGAGTTGAAGTCCACCAGTCATAAAAGAGCCAAGGTTGCCTACCCCTGGACTAGCCAAACCCAAGTCCTGTAGCCATTCTTTGTATGTTTTAGTCTCCAGGCTTTGGATCATCTTAGTTGCTCTTCTCTGATTTTTTTCTAAACTCTCAACATCTTTTTTGTGATACGATGACCAAACTTGTCCATGGCAAGTTGTCCTAGACCCCATGAAACACCCTGCCCAGTTTCTACATGCATCGCAAGGCTTGAATTGTAGGAGCCTGCCATCCTGACCTTTTTTTTGACTGTCCCTACATTGGATACCTCTCTGCACTGCTAACTCTAGAGAGAAATTATTATTACTTTCCACTGTATTGCAACAAGTTGGCTTGTTTGATGTTGCCAACAATGTTGCTATGCAATACTGGATGACACTACAGGAAAAGAAATACAGGTAGTTCTTGACTTAGGACAGGGGTCTGCAACCTTGACAACTTTAAGACTTGTGGACTTCAGCTCCCAGAATTCCTCAGCCAGCATAGCTGAAGTCCTCAAGTCTTAAAGTTGTCAAGGTTGCAGACCCCTGACTTAGGACAACAAGTGGGACTAGAATTTCTGTTGTTAAGCAAGGAAGTTGCTGATTTTAAAACCTCTTCTCTCCAAAGTTGTTAAATGGATCACTGCAACTGTTCAATGAATTATGCAGTTTGCCATTGGCTTCTTCCCAGGGCTGAGAGAGAATGACTGGCCCAGGATCACCCTGCCAGCTTTGGCTAAGATAGGACTAGAACTCATGGCTTACGATTTCTAGCATGATGTCTTCATCTCCATACCAAACTGGTTTTCACAATGTTGTAACTATCCTATTCCAAAGTCTGTTTCTGAAGTTCTTGCAAATCGCCTACCCTGCCCAGGCATTCTTCATGGGCTGTTTTAGCATCTCTGCCTGGAACTATGTTTATTTTTCTCTCTGGCCCAAGTTGTGATTTTTAGGCTGCTTCCTTATGTGTCAGATTCTAGAAGGTATTTCAGAATAACAGAGTTGGAAGGTACCTTGGAGGTCTTCTAGTCCAACCCCCTGCTCAGGCAGGAAACCCTATACCATTTTTAGACAAGAGATTGTCCAATCTCTTCTTAAAAGCCTCCAGTGATGGAGCACCCACAACTTTTGAAGGCAAGCTGTTCCACTGGTTAATTGCTCTCACTGTCAGGAAATTTCTCCTTAGTTCTAGGTTGGATTCTCTCCTTGATTAGTTTTCATCCATTGTTTCTTGTCTTGCCTTCTGGTGCTTTACAGAATAGGTTGACTCCCTCTTCTTTGTGGCAGCCCCTCAAATATTGGAAGACTGCTATCATGCTACCCCCAGTCCTTCTTTTCTCTAGATTAGCCATACTCAATTCCTGCAATATTTCAGGACAACATCCCCTGGAAATCTAAATTCCCACTTAGTTTGGAATTTACCTGCAAGTTATACTGAACGAATCTCCAGCTTCCACTATAATATAATCACGTTTGATGTTCAGTTCAGGTTTCATAAGCCTTTCTTGCTTCGCCAGAGCTGAGCCAGATGGAGGGAGGGAGAGGGAGAGAGAGAGAGAGAAAGAAGAGAGAGGGATTAGATGAGAGCAATTTCAATTTTTTTTTTCATTTTTCATGATAAATAATAGTAATTGCATAGTCCCATGGCTTGGTGGTTTTCTTCAAAGATTATAAAATAGAAAGTTATTCTACTTTATTGCTTGTTTATGAAAACAGAAGTAACTTTTAACATTCCTTAGTCATTCCATCCTAGTTTACAGTGCATTTCTCTAAGATATACATCTGAAAGAATGAAATCAAAAGAGTAACCTCTTCACACACTCCCATTTTCTAAAATGTCCAGTCCTAGCATTGGAATAAGAATTTTTATGTAAATTTGAGGTTGGCAATACTCTTATTGGTTTGTAACTATGGATACATTTTAGGCAATCATTCATCAGATGTATTAAATGTCATGGCCCATCCCCAGATAAAAATACTAGGTGTATAACTATTTTTTAAAAAAATCAAAATTAAAAACAAAAGAAATAAAACAATCTATTCTTTATGTTGATTTTGACACCAACCTTCCACTTATAGAACATTCACATGGGCTAAGATTTAAAAACTAAAGAATTACAGCAAGAGGAATACAGGATGGAAAAAATATGACAACTAAATATGCAAGGATACATGTCCTTGACAGGGGAACAGTAATGAACACTGTAAACTGTTCTCATCCACTGCTTTCAGGTGGTGAATTGTCCAGCCAAATAAATCTGTGAACTAGCATGAATTGCATCCTATTTATTTAGGTATTCAACTTCTACCCCTCCATTAACTTCAGAAGCCCAAGCTTGCACGTGCACACACACACACACACAATGCTACCTCCTCCTATAGCAGTGATGGCGAACCTTTTAGACACCGAGTGCCCCAAAACCGTCCCGTCCCCCGCCCTGCTCGTCTGCAGAGCCACCTACCGCCTCCATGGCCCACCGCAGATTGCCCAGGTGGCCCTACAGTGCCATGGTGGCCACGCCCTCCACCCGCGCCCCGCATCATCATCTGCGTGTGACGGAGTGCGAGGGTGGAGTCTTGTCCCTGCTGCCTGGCTGCCATGTCCTTGGCTGTGCTTACACCACATGGGCCATGCCCGGGGGCGACTCTCCTACGGGGAGGCTGCTGGTGAGGAGGGGGCCGCAGGGGGAGGTGGGGCTGGGGCGACGGCACGAGTGCCCACAGAGAGGGCTCTGCATGCCGCCTCTGGCACGCGTGCCATAGGTTTGCCACCACTGTCCTATAGTGTCACAAGCAACCTTGCATTGGGCATTGGGGAGAGAGAGAGGGAGGGAGACAGAGAGGGGGTGGGAGAGGGAGGGTCATAATTCATGTTTTGCTAACTGTTGCATTCTTCTCCAAAGTCATTTCTGAGGTTCTCTACATTTGTAAAACCATGATGAATGGTTAGGCATTATGTGAAAATGTGGCCACATTCGCATATTCAGTGAATCACAATGGTCAGGTACAAGGCACCAGAATGACACTGTGAATTGACAAGAGAAGTATCTTCATTGCTACTCGCCTATTTACAAGAATCTCACCAGATTAACCATGCTTTCTCGAGAACAATCAGATAAGCTCTCCTGTAAGAATTCCAGGATGGCTAATCTCTTAACTCTACTCCCACTTTAGCTATAGAGTCCACTACACAACTAAGGAACCTGTAGTTTAGGGCTATAATATGAACCCCACACCTCAAAAAAGAACACTTGAAGAAATAGAGATATTGAAACAGAACTAATGGGTTAAAAAGCCAGTTGTAAATTGTCTCAAACTCTTTGCAATGCATTGCCAACCATGTGCACCATGACTTCATTGAGTGCAAATGTTTTGATTTGCATCGCTTGCCAATAATGTCACAATGTCCTGACAGGTGTGAAATAATGACTGGCTGAATGCCTATCAGATAGCACTGAAGAAAATGCAAATTTAGGCTGGCATTAAAACTTCTGTTCAAATATATAATCTGGAAAGGATTTTTTTTTTAATGAACATGAAACAAATTGGAAAAATACAGTAAGCTCCTATGTGCTAGGTCAATTGAGATACCTGTGATGCAAATCCATACTTATTTTCCAATAAAACTAGTCATTCAGAAGAACGATAAGTAGGGTGACAGCATAATTTGGATTCTGGAAGACTCTTGTCTATGGTTTCCATCAAGATCAGAGAGTCCTCCTCCTCCTCCTCCTCCTCCTCCTCTCCACAAACCCTACTCCCTTCTAATACTGATGATGTTCTCTAGTTGGGTCATGAAACATCTGCAAGAAAACAGCCAAGATCAGAGTGCATCAAAGTTCAGCCCTGACCTGCAAATGCTGTATTCTCTTCTATTGGTACCACTTAAATACGCATTGCAGGATGTAAAAAAAGTGGATGGTGTTGTTTGCCCTGGTGGTGCCATTGCTGACCCCCCCCCATGGATGTACGTAACATCTAGGTTTGTATCCAGCTATTTAAATGCATCTGAAAACGCCCCCATCTCCCAGTTGATTTCCTCCTATGTGTAAGCCATCAGCCTTTCTCTACCTTATCTGAGATCCTCAATTTATTTCCATCTAAACTTATTTACGTTCAGGCTATAAAAACATATCCTGTTTCATGCACTGCTGAAAGGGGAATGCCCCTCTTGTGTAGCTTGTCCTTCTCCAATTAGATTTGCTCTGCAGAGTCACCAGCGATGGGGACGGGAGCTCCGCTTTCAAAATATTTGCTTTTAGTAGAATTATTACACGGCAGTGCCTGGGCATCCCACACGGCCCTCTCTTTGTGGTCCTAACAAACATAATGGCCCTATTTAAATGAGGCCAGGATGGATCAGATATATGCTGCGTTTCCCCTGATGGTTTTGAAAGAGCCCTTATCGGGGCTGTAAAAATCATTTTACCTGTTCTATCTCAGCCAGGATAATTATGAGCAGTAATAAAGACTCAGCTGTACAAACGCAAGTCATAATTCTGTGGGCATGTAAAAAACTACCAGCAGCCCAGAGCAGTGCTTCTATGTCTCCATGCACATACACGTCTTTGCCATGTGAACAGAAATGTTTTTAAAAGACTGCAGCGGAGAATCAAAAAAGGAACTGAACATGGCTGTTTTTTTCCCCAGCCGGAGATGTGGAAGGAGTATAATGTATTAGTGCCGCTTTATAAAGCCTTAGGAGGACCACACTATTGCATCCAGTTTTGGTCATCACATTACAAAAAAGAGGTTGAGATTTTGGAAAATAAATGCAGATGATTAAACTAAGACTCTGGCTAGTCTAGAGAAAAGAAGACCTAGGGGTGACACAATAGCTGCCACAAAGGTCAAACCTATTTTCCAAAGGACCAGAAGGAGAGATAAGAAAGGGTGGATGGAAACTAATCAAGGAGAGAAGCAACCTGGAATTAAGGAGAAATTTCCTAGCAGTGAGGACAATTAACCAGTGGAACAGCTTGCCTCCAGGAGTTGTGAGTGCTCCATCACTGGAGGCTCTTAAGAAGAGACTGGGCAACCATTTGTCTAAAATGGTATAGGGCAGTGGTGGCAAACCTATGGCACGCATGTCAGAGGCGGCACTCGGAGCCCTCTGTATGGGCACACGCGCTGTCACCCCAGCCCCGCCTGCCCCCGTGGCCCCCTCACCAGCAGCCCCCCTGGAGGAGAGTCACTCCCGGGCACGGCCTGCATGGAGCAGCGCAGCCAAGGACATAGCCAGGCAGCAGGGACAAGACTCCGCCCTCGTGCCTCATAGCGTGTAGATGATGCTGTGGGGTATGGGCGGAGGGCGTGGCTGCCATGGCGCTGCAGGGCTGCCTGCGTGATCTGCTGCGGCGAGCCATGGAGGTGGTGCATGGTCCTGCGGGCAGGCAGGGCAGGGGGCGGGCAGGGGCAGAGCAGGCAGGATGGGAGGCGGAGCGAGGGCAGGGGTGGTTTTGGGGCACTCGGTCTCTAAAAGGTTCGCCATCACTGGTATAGGGTCTCTTGCCTGAGCAGGGGGTTGGACTAGAAGACCTCCCAGGTCCCTTCCAACTCTGTTATTCTGTTATTCTGAAGCTGTAAAACTCCAGGCTGGACTTTTAGAGAGTTGACTCACAATAGACTTTCTTCATCTGACTTTCCATCCTTCTTCCCTCCCCCTCCTTTTTAAGCAGAAAGCAAAACCTAAAAACCTCCTCTCTTTTCCTATCTGCAGACATTGTTTTCCATAGCTTCGTTGGCCATTAAAATTCTGGCGAACACAGCTCTGCTTCTCAAGTGAAGGCAAACTGACCTATTTTCACATGTTCAGACCAATCCACTAATTGAAAGTTCGGCACTTGTCAACCGACTCATCTTTATGACGGTCGCCGTGTCCCAGAATCACGTGATCCCCTTTTGCAACCCTCTGACAAGCAGCGTCAATGTGGGAAGCCAGATTCACTTAACAACCGGGTTACTAACTGAGCAAATGCAGTGATTCACTTAACAACTGTGGCAAGGCTGTAAAATGGGGCGAAACCCACTTAACAAATGTCTCGTTTAGCAACAGAAACGTTAGACTCAATTGTGGTCATAAATCAAGGACTCCTTGTACTGATGATCTCCTCTGATCCCAAACAGGGAATGGGATGCAGGTAATCCTTGATTTATGACTATTTGTTTAACAATGGTTCAAAGTTATGACAGACTCAGAAAAAGTGATTTATGACCCGTCCTCAAAATTATGACCATTGCACCACTCCTGTGGTCACGTGATTACGATTCAGCCACTGGGCAACCAGATTGCAATTCAGGATGGTTGCAGTCATTTAGCACCTTCCTAGTCAACTTCCAACAAGCAAAGTTAATTGGAAAATCAACTTAATGAGCATGTGATTCACTTAATAACCATGGTAAGAATAGTCATAAAATTGGGTGTGGTGATGTGATGACTTGCTTTATGAGTGCACTGACCTATGATGGAAATGCCAATCCCAATTGCAGTCATAAGTCAAGGACTACTTGTTTAGCACC